GAGCCCGATGTGGGGCTCGATCCCAGCACCCTGGGATCATGACCTGAGCCGAAGGCAGAGGCTTTAACCCACTGAGCCACCCAGGCGCCCCGTGAATAATCTTTCTAAGCCTCAATTTCTACTTGGTAAAATACATTTTAGAACTCTCTGCTTAGTGGCGTGAGAGTTCCACAAGGGCAAAGAAAGACCTGTGTTTTTACCCATTTTTGTATCCACCTGATCGGCGCTTAATAAATGTCTCATTTGGGTGAATGAGATCGCGGACTCCACCACCGACCCCAACTCTTTAAAAATCACTCTTCGATTTCCCTCATTCCCTTCCTTCCCGCCCCTTTTCTCGCCCTTCCTTTCCCTAGCTTCCCAAGCCTTCCCTTCCCTCCAATCCTCTCCTAGCTTCCCGCTTCCTCTTCCCGGCCCGCCCCTTCTCTGCGTCGCGAAGGCAGAGAGGGCGAGGCGGGCTTTACGGCAGCCGCGTTGCGGCGGGGCGGGGCGCCGGCGGCTGGCGCGCTTGGCGGCAGCGGTGGGAGGCAGGCCGGCAAGCAGGCAGACGGAGTCGCAGGCGGGTGGCTTCGGCGGTGCTTGGTAGTGAGGGCGGGAGGGAGTGAGTCACTGAGCGTGTGTGAGGGAGGGAAGGAGCAAGCGGGCGAGCGAGCAGCTCGCGCCGTTCGCCCGCAGCACCAGCGAGGCCCCGCCGCCGCCCCGCAGCCCAGCGCCGAGGCCGGGCCGAGCCGAGCTGGGTCGGGCCCGGGCCATGCTGCTCACCGTGTACTGTGTGCGGAGGGACCTCTCCGAGGTGACCTTTTCCCTCCAGGTCGACGCAGACTTCGAGCTGCACAACTTCCGCGCGCTGTGCGAGCTCGAGTCCGGCATCCCCGCAGCGGAGAGCCAGGTATGCCGGGCAGCGAGCAGAGTCTCCCTACCGGGCTAACCCTCCTGCCCACGGGTCTCACGCCCTCCCTTTGCTACTGGTGAGAATTTGGGGGTGGCGGGAGCAGGATGGCCTCTCCCAGCCCGCCCCCGCGTCCGGGAGGGAACTGGAATTGCTGGCTGCCCCCACACACGCCGAGCGTGGGGTGGGGTACCATGGGAGGGAGCGGAGAACCTGACCGCAGACGCACCCACTGCAGCCCGAGGGGCGCGTGGACAGTTGGGCGGCCCGCCCCACCTTCTGGCTCTCTGGCCCTTTCTCCCCTAATAATCCCTCGTTTGGGGTGGTGCGGACGTACGTACATTATGAACAGCGTAGAATAGAAGCAGCAGCTCGAGGTTTGCAGGAATTCGTACATCCTGCTTCCCCAACCAGAAATACCAGTTTGGATCACTGTGGTAGGTTGTTGTGCATCTGCTTTTTTGGAGCGGGCTCCGGCTTAAGCAAACGTAATTTACCTTTAAATGTAGAGGTTTGCACTCTAAGTGAAGGAAAAAGTTTTGAGACTTCCATTACCTTGTTTTGAGGCATTTGGAAATGCCCTGTTCCCTTTTCCCTACCACATGGCATTTCTGGTTAAATTCTTAAAAAAAAAAAAAAAAAAGGGCAATTTCCCCCCTTCACCCCACCAAAGGGAGGGCAGTTATTAGTTCAATTCAAGTTGTTTGTTGCTCTGGTTTCTTCGCTGGGAGCAGGCCAGAATCTCTCTTTATTTCAGGCCATAACTCAGAGTTTGGCTGGGTTCAAAGTTCGTTGCTTTATGAGGATATTTTTGTAAAAACGGCCTAGTGTATTCTGGGTGTGATTCGCCTGTTTCATTTCCCTACCCTGCTGGAAGGAAGTTCAGCTGCTCTAACATTTCAAATAAGCAAAGTAATTTATTCTCAAAATGCCTTGAGGCTGCCCCCAAACAGAATTGGTGACGATAACTCTGGCCTTCACGCTAAAACGTTTAAATCTTAACTTGATAAGTGGACCTTGGAGGACATGGTCTGAACGTTAAGAAAATTATAGAAGTCCTGCAAGGCCCCAGAATGTAAATCTTGATTTCTTACTGCAGTTATGAAATAGTTCCCAAAACTGTTGCCTAACTACAGCGTGTTCTGCCCGGTGTCATGGTAAACAGATGTGTCAGTATTTTGTTCAGAAGCGAGTATGATTCCTTTACAGTATGTGAACTTTGGAACCTTGGCATAAAACTGAGTATCAAGAAAGATTTTGTTTCAAGGTGCAAAGTGTCACTCAAATAGGCCGACTGATGAAAGTTACAAAGAACTTGGTAAAAGGGATTCTTTGAGCCTTTTTCAGTAAACAGCTAATCCACAAAAACTGAGGAACCAGTTCCTGTCAGTGAATCCCTCAAGTGGAGAGCTAGGAAAGGACAGTTTAATTAGAGAGGGACACCCAACTCTTAAAATATTTGAAGGTGGCTTTTCTCTCACCCTGGTTAAAATCACCAGCTGGTGGGGGAAATAAAAAATTAAGATGTAAGTTGATTTTGTTGTTATTAGGACTTGGAAGAAGATGAAGGTTGGCTGGCGCTGCCTCAAATCCTGCTGGTTTTGAGTGAAGAGTGTGTCAGATTGGCACAGCGCAGGGTGTGAGGAGTTCCTCAGTCACTGAACAGTTAGGCTGACTCCAGATTTCTTTCTTATCCCTTAGGTCACCTTTGGGCATTTACTTCCTTCCCAAGCCAGATTAGCATATGCAAACCTGGGCTCCCAGTACTGTGAACCTTGTATTACTGAGTGGTAAACAGCTCCTGTGTTTCAAGTTCGTTCCTGTTGGCTCCATTGTAACCTAACACAGATCTATTTTAAGATGTCTGGTGGTCGGTTGTCTTTTCAGTTGTTTGCCCATCGGGCAGGAACAGGATCCACCCCAGACACTTGAGTCATTTCCCTTCACCAAATCATAATAGTAAGCATCGTTATAGTTCTTACCTACAAAAATGTCGCTTATGCGAGGCCCCCTCTCCCACCTCTTTACCTCCCAGATTCTCCCCTATTACTCATTTTCCCTTTCTTCCTTTCACAGTTCTCTTGGTCTCTTGACCTCTTTCCTCTTAGTTACCTTCTCCATTCTTATTCCTTCTCCTCCATTTTTAAAGGGATTTTTTTTTCGTTTTAATGTTCCTGACTATTCTTTCCCTTCAAGATCTCCACCACTGATCTCCAAACTTTTTTGGTGATGTATCCCTCTGAGTAAAATGTTTTGGAACATACATCTTTGTGATATATAAAAAGTTACAAACATTATGAACACATGTGATACACATTGTATATATATGCACATATATGTATATAACTGGAAACATCGTTATGTAATACACAGGAAGGAATACCTTGTGTCCGTTATAAACAACCATAAGATAGAATTTAAGGAAGGATGAACTCAAATAAATGGAAATGAAAATTCCAATACTGTTCTGTTCCTTCATATTTAAAGAATTGCTTTGCCTTCCCTGCATTGAGGATCACTGGTTTTGAATTCAGTCTTCCACATCAGCCTCAGTAGTGCCTAAGTATGCACTTAGAAAAGGTGTTAATTTTTAACAGCTCTGGTCTGATTATAGTAGTTGTAATGTGACGATAACAAATTTAGACTAGAAACGATCTCTTCTCCTACATGTGATTAAAGCTGGGCATGTTCCGTCTCTTAATACAGGTGTGGGCTTGGAAGCTCGTCATGGCTCTGTTTGATACTTTGATGCAGACTTGGCTGGGCAAACTTCAAAGAATTATCAGAACTCAGCTTCACTTTAAATTAACGTCTTTGTATTTTTGAAACATCATTATAATTTACCCCTGTAGGTGGCATGTGGTAAAGACGTGTGGGGAATGTGTAAGGACTCTCAAATGAAAGGCATATTTAAATACCAAATAATAGCAGTGACTGTATGATCCTGGAAAAGCAGCTCTGTACACAGCATGACTTGTGGTTTGTAAAACACTGTTTTAAATCTGTGGAAACTGAAATTTTCTGTTGTAGCTGGTTTGAACATGTTTATTTTCGCAGGTAATTTTCATGTTTTTTTATCCCCCCGATAAATACTACATAGTCATTGTAGAGAATTTGTAACTTACAGGAAAAGATAAGGACAGTAAGTTACTACCTCATAACCCCCAAATAACTGCAGTTTGCTTAAGATTTTATTATTTGAGAGAGAGGGAGCGAGAGAGAGCATGAGCATGGGGGAGAGGGGGAAGAAAGCTGTCCACTGAGCAGGGAGCCCAATGTGGGACTCAGTCCCAGGACCCTGGGATCATGACCTGAGCTGAAGGCAGACAGTTTACCCTCTGAGCCACCTGGGCGCCCCTGCAGTTTACTTTTTAGTGTATTTTTTTTTCTGTGCTTACTTCCTTTTACATATGTATCTTTTAAACACAATGGCCTGAACTACACTAACAGTTTCAACTTTCTTTGTTCCCTCAACACTACATTGTCAGCATTTCCCATCGCATATCAAATTCTTCAAATTTATCATTTTAATGGCTATATCATATACCATCCTATCGATGTACCACAATTTATTTAACAATTTCCTTATTGCTGAGCATTTGAGTTGGGGAAAATTGGAAGCAGTTATGAGTATCATTTTCATGGATATCTATATACTTAAGGCTTTGTCCCCATTTCTGATTATTTTCTCAGGATATATTCTTAGATATGGAATTGCCAGGTCTTTTGAAAGGCTCTTGGTAACTATTGCCAAATTGTTTTCCAGCAGGGCTGTAAAAGTCAAGCTGTTGCATGAAATAGTTTATGTAGATCACTTGACATACAATGGGCTTTCTGTTACTGGTAGATACTATTATGTAGCCATTCAGATGTGAGTCCAAAGATTTTGTGGCCAGTGTCTGGTCCTTACTGCTAGAAACATATTGCGATTTCTGCTGATTGAAGGCTCTCATTCAGAGACCGGGAAATGTTTGATATCATGCTTACAGGTCCTGGAGTTGTTTTAATCATACTGTTGTGGAATGTTCATTGAGAGGAGAATTCCATCTCGAGGGTGACCCCGCTGGAGTAAGTCCTCGCAGGTGGGCCATTTCCACAGCTAGAGACTCGAAGCAGTATCAGTTTTCCTGTTTGATGTTCTCATCACTGGCAAAACTAGAATTTTTAGCTTTGTGGCCTTTGAGTTGAGTGTTCGGGTAGGAAGCATCACCAGTGCCATTACTGACACTCATTTTGTTTTGACTGGTAGAAATTTGAAACCATTGGTCTGATATTCTCCTATTAAGCTAGAAGATCATTCAGACTTAAGCTATAAAAAGATTGTCTTTCTTAGACTTTTAAACCTGTCTTAACAAAAAGAAATCAGTTCTTTGTGGCAGTTACAATTTCAGCTAAGCTTTTGTTTATCTCATTTGTGTCCTTGACTCAAATGGAATACGCCTGCTGCTCTGTCAGTGTGAAGGGTCTTTGCTCCTCACCCACATTCTCCAGTCGAGTATTTTTAGGAAGTGGGGCAGATAGCATTATTCCACACTTCCTATATGTGTTTGGTGCTGGTTATTACCTGGATCTTATTGTTAGATGAGGCTGTCTTACTTTGTAAAAAAAATTATATTGTCTGCTGAGCAAAGACTGTGTTAAAGGGACACTGTGGAGTGATGTACGGTGTCTATAAGGTGGGAGGCCAAAGAGGGAGGAGTTGCAAGCGGTCTTTCTTGAGTTTCTCAAGTTTCTTGAGTTCAGTCCACTGCTCACTGCATCCCAAGGGGATGCAGTGAACAGTGGACAGGGTTTAGATCCCTCTGGTGAGGATAGGCCCTTAGTGGATGGCTTGCTAGCTCTTGTTCAGGTCACCTGGTGATTCCCCAGGCCACTTTAGACTTAGGTTTGGGGAAGCTGTATGTGGTCCTTAGGGAAGATTATGGGCTCTATAGTCAGGCAGACATGATTCCAGTCCTAGTTCTCTTCTTAATAGCTGTGTAGTCTCAGGTCACTGAACTCTGTATCCGTTTCCCTGTCCATAAAATGGGACCAATAAGGCCCACCTCATAAAACGACACTTTCATGAAAGGACGTTGGTAAGTAGGAGACCTCGGGAAGCTGTTCTGATAGCAGTGCACGCGGCAGTAGTGTTTGATTGTGGCTCCTCAGGCTGAAGAGACTCCAGTGACCTGGTGGCCCGGAGCATTCTGATGCTACTGAGTTCGATTTCCTGTTGTTGATAAATGTTCTTTTATAAGTCCAGTTAGAATGTGTCCACTGACTGTATCTCTGAATATACGGATAGTTGAGTTTCTGTACCCGGAAAATTAAGGAGTGGGCTGTGGACCACTTGGTCCCTTCCTTGTGGTGGCTTCACAGTGTCGCTGCCACCATGTAAGAGCTGCCTGCGTGGCGTTTCTCTTGGCAAGCCTCTTCTTGCTGCACATCCTGACCCGTGACACTTGTCCCTTCAGACTTCCGGTAGTTTTCCCAGCAATCCCACATGTTACGATAGGACTTTCAGGTTATATTGCAAACAGTCTGTGTTGATTCTGTTGTACCTTTACCGTGTGGCACTTAAATAAGGGAGAAGCAGAGAGTGTGACTGGATTGATGGAATGATACCTGCGGTCTCTTGTAACATGTTTGAACTCTATAGGTTGACGGTAAGAAAGAACATTATGTTTTCTAGTCATGTATAGAATTTATTAAGTATCGGCATCCCTACAAACTCTGAAATCAGTTTCTTGTGCATCCTCAGAAGTATTCGGTTTTGGAAATTTGGTTTCCCATTCGTTCTGTTCCTCACGTCAGTGCAGATTCTGCGAACAGATATGACAGCTCGTTTTTCCCTGTACAAATCCTGTACTTTTCAGGTTCCGTGTCAGGCAGTCTGACTGTGAAAGCTTTGAGGACACAAGAGGAAATGCTGTAAAATGGTAGTGGGGCAGAAAGACCTGGAAGGGACAGCTGTAGTGATTCTCGAGCCCCACCTGCTTACTTGACAAATGGGGACTGTGAAGCCTGGACCAGCTGAGGGACACGGCCCCTCTCAGAGCCAGGACAGGACTCGGGCTCCTCCGTTGGCCTGTGGCCTGGTGCAGAGCCAGTCGTTAGGGAGAAAGCCTTTCGAAGCCTGAATTTGCTCTGAATGCCCCTCTGGAGCATGTGACAGTGTGGGGTAGGTTTCATGTGCCTTCGTGGCAAAAGCACCCTGTGCCCTCCGTACCCGTGCTTCCTGTACCCGGTGCTTTGTCTGCGTTTCTGCTCTCAGGTTTTCTTCAGTGTTTGGTCGCACCTCATAAAAATGTTTTTATTAGTAGTACATCCCTGATCCGTTTTGCCATCTGTGTTTAGTTGTTCTTTTCTGAATTTCTTCCCCTTTCATCTTCCAGTCGTAAGTGTGACCGAGCTTTGTGAATGGTAGGAGGGATGCAGAGCAGGTGGCATTTGGAAAACTCGTGGACGTGCCAGTGTCGTGCAGGATCACTTAGAAGTGGACACACTGGGTGTCACGTCCAGCTTGGTGACTGTAATTAACAGTGCTGTATCACATACTTGAAAGCTGTTAGGCGAGTCCATGTTTGAAATTCTCATGACACGCGCGCGCACATACACACACACGACATTTGAGATATGGCGAGCAAAACAACATCCTATCCTCAAGTAGCTTACGTTTTAGTGGGGGCAGAAAGACAATAAAGAAATAGATTTATAGGGGCGCCTGGGTGGCTCACTGGGTTAAAGCCTCTGCCTTCGGCTCAGGTCATGGTCCCAGGGTCTTGGGATCGAGCCCCGCATCGGGCTCTCTGCTCAGCAGGGAGCCTGCTTCCCTTCCCCTCTCTCTGCCTGCTTGTGGATCTCTGTCAAATAAATAAATAAAAAATCTTTAGGAACTAGATTTATAGCATGAGAGGTGAGGGTATATTTTATTTTATTTTTATTTTTTTTAGATTTTATTTATTTATTTGACAGAGATCACAAGTAGGCAGAGGTGGGGGAAGCAGGATCCCCACCGAGTGGAGAGCCTGATGTGGGGCTCAGTCCCAGGACCCTGAGATCTGGACCTGTGCTGAAGGCAAAGGCTTAACCACTGAGCCACCCAGGCACCCTGAGGGTACTTTTTAAATAGACTGATGAATGAAGGGCTCTGAAAAGGTAATGTTTGATCAGAGACCTTAAGAGAGAATGACTGGGGAGCACCTGGCTGGCTCAGTCGGCAGAGCATGCAACTCTTGATCTCAGGGTCGTGAGTTCAGTTTCCACATTGGGCATAGGGCCTACTGTAAAAGGAGATGACTGGGAAAAGAACATTCCTTAGGTAGAGAGAAGAGCAAGAGAAACAGTCCCAGAGGGAAATTGATCGTGTTATTTGGGGAGCGGCAATTACAGTATGAGATGAAGTCAGAAGGAGAGCCAGGGACCAAATGGTTTGGGCCTAGTTGGTAACGGGAAGGACTTGGGCTTTTGTTCCAGGTGTGATTGGAAACCACTGGGGGGTTTTGAGCAGGGACTGACGTCTGATGAAAAGGGACGCTGGACGTAGTCTTCCTGCTTTGTGCCGTGTTACTTCTCAATGCTTTCTACTGTACAATCTTTTCTGGTCGTAGATTGTCTATGCTGAAAGACCTCTCACAGACAACCACAGATCGCTGGCTTCCTACGGCTTGAAAGATGGGGACGTTGTGATTTTACGACAGAAGGAGAACGCCGACCCTCGACCTCCGGTGCAGTTCCCAAGTAAGACATCCCTGACACCAGCATCAGGAGAGAGTGTGACATGGGCCGGAGCAGTGGACTGCCTTCGGGTTCAGAGTGCAGGGTACAGGCTCTGACTGCCCCTTGGTTGCTGTGTAACCTCGGATGTGTTAACTTTCCTACATCCGTTTCATCACCAGCTGTGAGATAGGCTGTGAGAATAGTGCACTCGCAACCTTTGGCACACAGCGCGTCCGCGATAAACCTTCGCTTCTACTGTTATCAATAATAACTTTATCCTTGCGAGGGACTTAGGAGGCACCTCTGCCCGTGATTCCTGACTGACTTTTGCTACTTTGTGCCTGGCCTGCTGCTGGCAGTCAGCCAGGCACGTGGCCCTCCGTTACACGGGCTCATCACTGTTGTGGGGGAAGAGATTCCTCTTTATAATTTGTTATCACTAATAGATGAAGCTCTGATTTTAAGTAATGTCTTCAGTGTTACGCAGCTAATAAATGAAGACATGGGAACAAAATGTGGTATTTTTTCCCATTATACTGACCTTTATGAGCATTAAGCCGCCAGACCACCAACTTCTGTTCCTTCCCTGCCAGCCATGTTAATCCTGTGAAAGGAAGCTGTTGTCTGTCTTGATGTTCCATCCAGATTAGGGGTTTATAATCTGGAATCTGTGCATTGGGATTTAGAGTGATTCTGTGTCCCTGAAAGAATCACAGAATTGGGTAGCTTCGAGCATGTGTGCATTTGATGGAGAAAGGGTCCGTAGCTTTCTTCAGATGCTCAAAGGGGTTCCTGATCTGTAGAAAGTTGACAGGGTTATGAGAGGGAACTGTTTGATGAAATGTAATAGTGTTTTCCATTCCCTGTTATCTTTGGATAGATTTCTTTCAACAGTTTTTAGTCATTAGGATGGTTGCTTTTATAGTTTTATAGTTTGTGGTAACAGCTGATGGGTGTCTGGGTGATGATGACAGACCCCAGCTCAGAACACAGTGCTTCCATTCAGCCTGAAACTGGGGCTGTGAGAGACCGTGATGCACTGTTCTCCCGGATCGGGGTTACAGGAGTCCCTCAGGGCTACTGTTAAACTTTAGAAAGAGCTGGGATTCGAACGTGCCAGTCAACAAAAACCAAGTCTGCCTTTGGTTAATTCGGTGAGATGGTTAGTTCTGGAAAGTGACTGGTTTTTTTTTTGTTTTTTTTTTTTTTCCCTGCACTCTCCCATGTGGACCAGACAGCCAGTAGGTGGGGGTGGGGAGAGGATCTTGGTCTATCAGGTAAACAGGTTTCTCAGAATTACTCTGAAGCGAATGGACTCTCAAGATAAGTGTAACAGGGTTAGAGATAAAATTTCTTGACCCACAGAGAAGGCCCGCCCCTCTGTTTTGCCGGTTGGTATAGATTAACTCCCTCAAACGTGTACACGCACACATAAACATTTACTAGCTGCCCACTGAGGTCTGTTTGGAGAAAGTATCTAGTTGAACCTGTGCTAAGAGGCAGAAACTGACGCTGGAATTTAAGGATTCCCTCCTTCTGTTGATGTCCTGTATGCTTCAGGACGGCCTCAGACTTGGGACAGGAGTGACCCTCAGATACATTTTTGGGATTGAGGAGATGCAGATCCACTCAGTTCTAGCGCCCCATTCTCGCTCTGCTCTACTTTTTCTTTGCTAAGGTAAAAACTCCTTTTTAAGTAACAGCTTTATTGAGATACCATTCATATACCATAAGTTCACTCATTTAAAGGGTACAGTTCATTGATTTTGAGTATATTCCAAGTTGTGCAGCCGTCACTACAGTCAACTGTAGCACATTCTCATCACCTTAAAAATAAACTGTACCCATTAGCAGTCATTCCCCATCTGCCTCCAAGCCTCCTGGTCCTGGGCAACCATCAGTCTACCTTCCGTCTCTGTGTATTTTCCTATTCTGGACATTTCGTATAAATGGAATCATATAATATGTGGGTCCTTTGTGTAAGACTCCCTTTTATTTTCCTTTCATTTTAATAAGGTCAGCCCAGCCTGGATTTTAGAACCTGGGAGTTGTAGCGTTTAACTCTGTTCTATCTTTTGGTGACCTAAGCACTGAGAGAGAACCTGAGCATGTTCCTTTTCTTCTGTTTGTCTCTCCTGTAAAACAGTTGGACCTGCTCGCTCCCCAGGGCGTAAGAGTTAGCAGTGATGCACAGATGAAAGCATAAATTCCGACGACGAATGTGTTCAGAAACTGGTAGAATTTTACATCTAAAATGGATTCAGGTCCCTTGGATTGTATAGTATTCTTTCCCCAGGGTGTGCAGGCTCTTTGAAACATGTCAAAGCGGACTGGGATTTTTCTCAAGAATTACATTCAGAATTATGTGGTTATGTTTATTGAGACTAGCTTTAATGTTTTAAAAGCACAAATAAGTAAAAACTTGTCATCTCTCCTGGGGTACTGTATAAGCCAAAAACCTAGGGTTACTACCACTGTCGGCACCCCCTTTTCTATTCTTGCCTGTGGGTTCACCCAGACTGCGGTCAGTTGAGAGCGGGAGCAGAGCCAAGGTCAGATGTCTACAGTTAGCATTTACGAACATGCCATGTACCAGCAAGTGCTGTTCCCTTCAAATGCTTGTTTTCATGGAGTCCCTGGAAGTAAACTTTGAACCGATTTTCCCCAACAGACTTACCCCGCATAGACTTCCGTAGTATAGCTGTGCCCGGCACGTCAGGCTCCCGTCAGCGCCAGCCACCAGCACAGCATTCCCACTCATCTCCTGGAGACATAGCTTCATCTCCTCAGGGCTTGGACAATCCGGCCTTGCTCCGAGACATGTTGCTGGCCAACCCCCATGAGCTGTCCTTGCTGAAGGAACGCAACCCGCCCTTGGCAGATGCTCTGCTCAGTGGAGACCTTGGTAAGCTTACACGTACGGAAGACTGGCAAGCTGACCCAAGCGGAAGTAGTTCCGTCGCAGCACGTGTGGAGAAACTCAGGCAGCTGGTGTGTTCAAGCCTCCGCGTCACGCGATTGCTTGAACCTACCAGGTGCTTTCTGAGAGGTAGATCCGGGCTAGTGTCAAAGGCTGAGTTTACTGGCAGTAGCGAGAGAATTTGACATCTGCATGGAGTTCTGAAATCCAGCTTGACCAGCCTCCTCCGTTGACCTTTTTTTCAAATGGTTTTCACAGCGCATGACCTAGGTGCTCCTATTTTAACCTGTTCAGTTAGACCCTCAGTTTGAGAGCACCCCGGTAACCCAGCTTGCTGCCAGGTGAAGTGCTTTTAGTTACAGAAAACATGTCTGGTGCCATCAGCCTGTATGGTAAAAGGGAACAAACCCTTTTATTTTCTCCCGCCCCAAGTCTAATGGGAGCAGGGTTGTTGCCAACAGCTTGTTTGGAACTGCATTTGATCCATTCTTATATTAAATAGAACACTTATTTTTAGTTAGCTTCATGAATAAAGTTTTTCTCTGTAAATTTCTCTAGTTTTATTCTTGGGCTTATGAAACAGTACTGATTAAATTTTAAAACATGACAGACACTTAATAGCTTATTCTTCAGTTGACCATCTTTTAAATCGAGGTAATACTTACCTAACAGAAATGCACAGATTTTTTTAAGTATACAGTTCATTGAGTTTTTGCAAACTCAATGTAACCACCCTAGTCAAGATACAGAACGTTTTTCTCCAGAAGTTCCAATATATTCTCTGCGGCAAGTCAGTTTCCTCCCCTGATGGGCTGCTGCCATTCTGATAATTGTGGTTTCAATCTTCATGTAAATGGAATCGTACACTGTGTCCTCTCTCATGTCAGGCTTCTTTTGCTCAGCTTAATGTGTTTTAGATTCATTCATGTTGTGTGTGTTAATAGTTCATATGACCATTTTTCTGGTGTCTTTAATTTCTTATGTAGCAGATCTAGTTGCCAAAGACCATGATGATGGCAAGTTGAAGTTTATACATTTTTATGCATCCTCATTTAAGAAATAGCATAATTAAGGTGGTTCTTGTAACACACATTTTCTAGCAAGCAATATTTCCTCTTCACTCATTTTGCTGCCTATTATTCCCCAGGTCAGATAGGTAGGCTAACAGTAGTTTGCATTTAACTTACCTGGCTTAAGGCAGAGGGTGCTATAAAGGGAATGAAACTAGAGGAAAAACAGGGTTGTGGCACATGGTTTTCAGTGGTGGTGGTGGTGATGGTGATGGTTTTTTTTTTTTTTTTTAAGATTTTATTTATTTATTTGACAGACAGAGATCACAAGTAGGTAGAGAGGCAGGCAGAGAGAGAGGAGGAAGCAGGCTCCCTGCCAAGCAGAGAGCCCGACGTGGGGCTCGATCCCAGGACCCCGGGACCACGACCTGAGCTGAAGGCAGAGGCTTTAACCCACTGAGCCACCCAGGCACCCCGGGTTTTTTGTTTTTTAATTGAAATATAGTTGACACACAACGTTACCGTAGTTCACGTGTACAACACCGTGATTCAAGTCTGTGCCTTAGTTGTGCTCGCTGCAGACACACTGCTTGTCACCACACAAACACTTTTACAATACCACGGACAACATCCCCTGTTGTCATGCTGTTTTATCTCTAGGTAATAGGTTCATAAGGGCAGCCGGGAGGAAAGCAACGCAGCCATTATCTGCCACACAGATAGTCATTTCCATTCATTTCAACTGAAATATTGTTATCTCTGGGTAAAGACACTACAATGGATAACTTCTTACAGGAAGAAATGATTTTTGCAAAGACTTAATTTCTTCATATTAAATTTAGGTGACGTGTACTTCATATTAAATTTAGGTGACGTAGGTAGTCTTGCCTCAGAAAATAGCAATGTATTTGTAATGTAATTGCTCATTTAAAATAATTCTTAGGCATCCTTTCTGCATCTCTTTACAGTTATATCTTGAGAAACTGTTTGATCTGGAAGAGTACTAATGAAGAATGGAAATAGAGCGGTACTCAAGATTTTCTCCCTTATTTTTGTAGAGAAATTTTCTAGGGTCCTGGTGGAGCAGCAGCAGGACCGAGCCCGGAGAGAGCAAGAAAGGATTCGTCTCTTTTCTGCTGACCCTTTTGATCTTGAAGCTCAGGCAAAAATAGAAGAAGATATAAGGTAATGACCCTTTTCCTAAAGAGCAAGCTTTAGAGAATCCAGAGTTCCCAAATCACAGGTGACCCGGTGTCAGTCGGGTATCTGCTCTGAAGCAGCCTCCTTGTTTTTGTATTTGAGAGAGCAGTTCCGCCTTTTAGGTCTTCTTTCCTCTTCCGTTTTCCTCACGTGTTGATTCAACATATGACAGTGGTACAAGTACCTAACTTAATGACGTTCTCTTCTAAAAGTTGAGTGAAGACTCCGGGACTGGCCCACAGTGCGTCAGCAGAGCAGCTGCAAGTAGATGACTCCGGGACTGAGCAGTGGTCCCTGCTTGGTGAGACTGTTTGGGCGGCTCTACAGGCTGCCTGACTGCGGTCTCCGTCCTTAGACATAATGCGTGAGCCCTGGTTAAATTAAACCCAGGCTTGGGTGCAATCTTGGATCAGAGAGCGATCTCTGGACAGATGGAACTCTGTGGTCCTAGGTCTGTTTGCCTCCTGCAGCTCTTGCACTGGCCTCAGTGGACAGCTCTAGCTTCCCTAATGCTGTGGTTCTCACCTGGGGCTGCATTAAAATCACATAAAAGGCTTTAAAACTGTAGGTGCTTGTGCTCTACCCTCAAATCTGATGGATCAGAATCTTAAGAGGTAGGGCCAGAGCAGGTACAGTGATGCTGATGCCAGCCTTGGTCACATTACTAGTCACGAGCTAGATGCTCTTCAGCCCCTTAGAATGGAAGGACAGCTGCCCCCCACCCCCATTCCGTTTTTGTTGCAAATGGTGAAGGCCTTAGTATAGTCTTCCCTGCCTTTTCCGTGTTCTTGGTTTTCTGTGGTTAACTATAGTCTCCAAGCAGATCAGAAGATCAGTAGGAGCGTCATACCATGTCACAAAACCTATGCCGTTCATCTCACTTCATCTTACCACGTAGGCGTTTTATCATCCCACATCACCGTGAGAAGCATGAGTACAGTACAGTAAGGTGTTTTGAGAGAAATGCATTCATAGAATGTTTACTACAGAATATTACAATTTTTCTATTTTATTATTGGTTATTGTTGCTTCTCACTGTACTTCACTGATGAACGAAGCTTTATCGTAGGTGTACGTACACAGGAAGAAACATAGTATATGTGTAGGATTTGGTACTCTTTGTGGTATCGGGTGTCCACTGGGGGTCATGGACTCTATCCCTTGCAGACAAGGGGGGACTGCTGTATATGAAGAACTATGTTCTTTGCAGTCATAGTCTTTTGTTACTCGAATGAAGCCCAACTTGGTCATTATATTATACTGTCAGCTTGGAAGTCAAATAATGGTTATTTTATTTTTTGTTTCTCTGACTACATCTGAAATCAGGGAAATTTAAGTTATTTGTCAGAATCAGTTGACAGCCCCAAGCCATTCTTGTTCTTTTTGATGAAGTGCCCACATTAATTGCATCAGTATATTAGTATATGAATATCTTTGAAAAAAACATCTCACTAGTTAAATCTACCCAGAGAAATAGAAAGACATTTGTGTTCTCTGAACTAGACTCCATTGCAGCTCTAAGGGAACTTGACATAATTCTGAAGAACAGACATGTTCAATCCAGGAAGCAGGAGCGGTGGGAAGGAAAGTGGGGAGGCATCATAGCCAGACCCTGACACTGCCCTGTTGGCAGAGTAGCAGTGAGAGGGGGCATGTTTGTGTGTCTTGCGGGGGAGTGGGGGAAGATTAAGGAACTGGGGTAATGTGTACACTCTTTTTTTTTTTTTTTAATTTTTTTAAAAGATTTTATTTATTTATTTGACAGAGATCACAAGTAGGCAGAGAGGCAGGCGAGGGGTGGGGAAGCAGACTCCCCGCTGAGCAGAGAGCCCGGTGCAGGGCTTGATCCCAGGACCCTGAGATCATGACCTGAGCTGAAGGCAGAGGCTTAACCCACTGAGCCACCCAGGCGCCCCGTGTACACTCTTTTAAAGAATACCTTGTGCTTCTCAAGAGATTCTCCACATATAGAACCCAGAATAGCCAAAATGACTGGTATTATCTCAGAATCTGATTTTGCTGAAATTTAACTTGGTTGGAGTCAGTGCAAGGTCAGGAGTATACAACTAATTTTAGTTCATTTCTAAATTTAAGAATGTGGCATCAGAGAAGAGCCGTGTAATTCTGTCAAGTGCTTCCTGCAGTTTTCTTTGGTACGCTGCACCAGTAATTACCCAGGGTGCAACTGCACTGGGGTACGCGAGCTTGCGTATTTCCCTAGACTAAATAAGCGTGCCTTCGATTTCCTGAAAAATTTCGTGTATTATTACAGAATGGCTGATAAAATGATCAGTTCAGTTGAGGGGGAGTATTACTATGAAAAGGACAGGCACCGCAGTTTAGAGCAGGGGTTGGCAAGCTTCCCATGGAGTGCCAGGCAGTAAATACTTTAGGGTTTGCAGGCCCTGCTGTCTCTGTCGCAAGGGCTCATTTGTGCCAGTGCGGTGCCAGCGCGGACCTACCTGACACGACCACTCGGAGACCAGCAGTGCGGCTGCGCTTCCATGGGGGTGTTTTGTTTTTTTCTTTTTTTTAAAGGTTTTTATTTATTTGACAGAGAGAGAGAGTACAAGTAGGCAGAGCAACAGGCGGAGGGAGAGTGAGAAGTAGGCTGTCTGCTGAGCAGGGAGCCAGATGCGGGGCTCGATCCCAGGACCCTGGGATCATGACGTGAGCTGAAGGCAGCGGCTTAACCCGCTGAGCCAGCCAGGCGCCCCATCCCATGGGGGTTTGTTCACACAAACGGATGGTGGTCCAAACTGGTATAATTTATCCCCAGTCTGGGGCCCCATTCTGTTTGTGCCTCAGTCTTCAGGTACTTGGCCCAGCCCCCGCCCTTGTTCTCATTTATGTTGGTAGCATTTGGTGTTTGTTTGTTTGTTTGTTTTTGCGTTTGGTGTTTTTAAAAGGAGGTTGGGAATGAAGGTACGGGAGGTTGGAGAAAGCTAGAACCCCCTTTTATATCCTTTTCTTATGTGGGAATAGAATATGTCTGGTGTTTGGAGGAATGGTTTGACAGACAAGTGAACTGTGTGCTCTGTGTATGTGTGTGTGTGTGTGGTTTTCTGAGCGATAGCAGGTAACTAGAGAGACATTTGCTCAGCATCTGCTCTTCTGTCAACACTGTTCTAGATGTTCTCCATCTCTCAGCCACACTACAATCGGAGCTGCTACGTTCACGTACAGGTAGAAAACCCAGTCTCGGGGATTAAGCAGAGACACAGTACAGACTGTTAACACCCATATATTATATTTGCCAACTATTTCTAACGCACCTGACATGGGAAATGTACCCAGATGTCCAGTAAATCCTCTGTTAAAATTGAAGCATTCATGAAATTCTCACATTCTACAGAATTAAAATGTCGTGACCCTTATACTCCGGAGGTTTATTCCTGTTTCTGAGCTCAGAAAGGGAGCAGAACTGTTTGGTGTGAGAAAGCCATGTGCAGGCCTTCAGATTTGCTGCCAGCTGCATCTCACCGCCTCACCTGTTCCAAGAGAGAGCACCGGTACCCATTTCCATGACTCAGCTACTATAATAGCGGCGAAAGAGGTGTACAGATGTTGGGTTGGTTTTTTTTCCCCCAGTCAGTTTAGTGAAAGGAAAGCTATGGAGGTTCCAAGGCCTTGGGGCTCGGGCAGGAGGCTGCCCTGCAGGCAAAGGAAGAGCCGGTGGGGTGGCCTTATATGACCTCCTTCTTGGGGCGCAGGGGGCTGGTGTGGCCGCAGTTCTTGCAGCGGTGGACAGCGTGTGGGTGTGGGCAGGCAAAGCGCTGGCGGCCGATGATCTTGCCGCGGGTGTGTGTCTGGGCCAGCTGGCGGGGGGAAGGCTCGACGGCGCCGCCCCACAGACAGAGCACCAGGCGCAGGCTGGACTCTGCGGCTGCTATCGTCAGAGTGTCCGTCCGTCAGCGCTTTGCACGTAAAATCAGACCCTGCTCTCAGGTGGGATGCTCCCCTTGACTTGGATTTTGGCTTTGATGCTCTCACTGGTGTCACTGGGCTCAACCTCGAGGGTGATGGTCTTGCCCGCCAGGGTCTTCTCGAAGTTCAGCATCTCTGCGTCTGCCGCTCAGCTGCTCGTTGAAGAGAAAGCCAAGTCTGTTTTGAATGTTGTGACTTTGAAATAGATTCCCCTTCCTGGAAATAATGATCTTACTGTGCTTGGTTTTGGTGTGTTACAGGCAACAGAACATTGAGGAAAACATGACGATAGCTATGGAAGAGGCTCCTGAAAGTTTTGGCCAAGTAGTGATGCTTTATATTAACTGCAAAGTGAACGGACACCCTGTGAAAGCCTTCGTTGACTCAGGTGACATCTTGGTCTTTGTCTCTGCTGTCTGTCCGACATTCTGACCTGACACGGGGAGAAGGGGGGTCTGGTGCCTGTGAAAGCGGGCAGTAGCCTGGACTGCTAACGAGCCTGGGGGTCACCTCACTTGCCCACCTTTTGTTTGTAACAGATTTATTTCTTAATCATTTCTTCATTGGTTTTGTATCATGCAGTATGTCCTTTATCTTCCTACCCCCTGATTGGGCATCCTGAATTTTTGGGATACCTCTGTAAGAAGTTTGCGAGTACATGGGTTTAGAAGAAGGAGCCGTGAGAGGCAGCTATGTGGGGTGTAGGTCAGACCAGTACCTCATCATGGTCTGTATGGCAGCCCTTTGCCGGGAGCTGCGAGAAGTCGAAGCATGTTTGAATCAGGGCTCTTGCCCTGGGAGAACTTGACCCCTAGGTCAGCAGACAGGGAGTTCCCCACCTGAGATTGTGAATAGTGCCTGTACCAGCTGGTACCTTTTCTCGCAGTAGTAACTGCTTTTCAGTCAGACCATGCAGAGCACCTCATGGGTGTGGCTCATTGGTCTCATGTGTCTTAATCCTGGGTAGCTCGCTCAGCCTGTGAGGTGGTGGGATGAGCTCCTGGAGTAGTGAAAGGCCCTGTTCAAGTACGACTTTCCTGCATTCGTTCATCCACAGCTATCTGAGCTCATGCTAGGTGTTTGTGTCTTGAGATACATACGTTCCTGAGAGAACGTATCAGTACATTTGCTGATTAGTCAGTTTAAAAAGTGTCTGTTGAATGCCGTAGGCGGGGCACTTGCGCGGAGTGTTTGGGAGGAAGACTCACCAACTGGAGCTTCATGGGGCTCGTATGAGTGAGAGAGACAAATGCGTACATAAGAGACCCTAAGGGTAACATTCAACGTTTACTGAGCCCTTACCGTGTGCCAGGCAGCACACTCGGTGCTTAAAATAGATCATCTTAATTTCACTTAACCTTCAGGTTATCCCAGGGAGCTGTGTTCAGCTATTAACCCTGTTTTGTAGATGAGAAAACTTAGGTGATGTTGCTCTTCAGGTAGACAGAGCCCGTGAGTCGTGGACTTCAGATTCAGCCCCAGATCTGTTTGATACCACAGCTCAGTGACCACAAAAATCAGATGCATGTTGGCTAGCCGTCTGGGCCGCTCAGGCGTGGCTTCCCCCCAGAGCGGGCATCGGAACTGCCCTGTGTCCACAGGCAGAGGAAGGGGCTTGGGGCCGAGGCTTGAGAAAAGGCAGGAGAGTGTTGAAAGGGGCCCTTCTTGTCTTGGGCTCGCTTACTCTACAACAGTAAGTAGCTTTTGTGCAGTAGAAAGGGGAGAGAGGAAGAAAAGAGAGATCGCTTTCTCCAGTTTTCTTTTCCTTCCTTTTTGCTGGACCTTCTTGACTCTAACCTTCCTTAAATGCCAAGAGCTTTTAGTGCCCATAAAGTGTCAGGTGCCTGGTGAGTAAAGTGAGTGGGAAGTGATGGGATTGAGTGAGAGGGGAGAGCACTGGGCAAGGCCGGTCAGCTGCAGAGGAGGCGTGGTTTGACCTGGGCCTTGAGCATGAGTGGGAGTCAGAGAAAGTGGGGGGGGCACTCTCTGTAGGAGGGTCAGCAGGAGTGAGAGGCAGAGGGAACAACTGGCTCCTGTCGAAGTGAGGGGTTTAGAACAGAGTGAAAGGCTGATAGCTGCATCTTTTTGGGCTGCTATAAAAGAATACCATCAACTGGGGGGGGGCGGCTTATACACAACAGATTTCCTTCTCCTAGTTCTGGAGGCTGGGGAGTTCCGGACAAAGGTACAGGCAGGTTCAGTGTCTGCTGAGGACCCACTTCAAGGTCGCAGATGTTCACCTTCTCGCTGTGTCCTCACATGGCAAAAGAGTGAGGGCGCTCTCTGGGGTCTCTTGCACAAGGACACTCATCCCATTCCGGAGAGTTTCACCTCCATGACCTGATCCCCTCCCACACACCCCACCTGCTAATGCAGTCGCATTAGGAACGTAATGGTTTCAACATAGGAGTTTTGGGGGGGACACAGACATCGGTCTGTAGCAGCTGGGGGCACTTCGGCTGGGATGAGGTGGACTGTGCAGCTGTGGCGAGGGGGTGTGAGGCTGATCTCACAAAGAGGAGGAGCTGTTGAGGATTTTTTAAGACTAAAAACAGTGACAGATCTGGAAATTCTGTATCCCTCAGGGTCAGCGTCAGAACTATTTCCTTGCTTTAAATTATACCTCTGCAGAGTGGTTTGGAAACCAGAAAAATTGTCCACTAGTGAGGGGAATAGGGGGTGAGCTGCGCTGGTTGCTATAATTAGAAGAAGGAAGGTCAGAAATAGAGATTGCATAAAACTTACTCACAGGGTTGGAGCAGAGTCTGAGAGTGGGGAGAAGGCTGAAAGACAGGGAGTCACACGTGAACAGTGCCGAGTTTTATGTTGCAGGAAAGTAATTTCATTGGTAAGAGAAATCTGAGGTGAGCACTACTTGGGGGAGAAAGGGCTTTATACCTGTTGGCTTCGAGAAGGAAATGTCCAGCACACGGCGATAGACTAGAGTCCGTGGGAGACTAGGACTACATGTAGGGGAAACAGAGACTGTCTCCTGCTCAGGACCCTCTGGCCGCATGGGTGAACACACGCAGGAAAGGACCCTGACTGCCCTCTTGCCCTGGGGCATGCTTGTTGGTGCAGAGATAGGGAGTTCAGCTCTTCCTTGTTCAAGAGACGGCAGGTTTCACCTGGTAAATTACACTGTCCCAGAGTTTGAAGTAAAAATAATCTGATAAGATGTTTAGAGATACTTGGTGAAGACGGATCTGAGCGTGAAGTGGCGCTTACCTTAGCGTTCCCTATCTGTAGACACTGGTTCGACTTTCTGGAAGTCCCTTCCAGTTGGTTTTGCTTTCTGTCTGTAAAGTTTTAAAATGTCATCCAATTATTACATTTCAACAAAGTATTCTTTCGCTCCCTGCCAGGTTTCTACACTGTTTCAGATTCCAGCCTGGAATTGAAAGTTGAATTCAGTGTAGTGGGAACAGCTAAGGACTAGCTTAAGCTAGGTGTGAGTAATTGTACTCAGACGAAAGCCTGGGGGTGTATTTGCTCTCTGCCCTATTTCAGGCTGCATTTTTTTAATCTTAACACAAGTGTGGGCTTTGTTTTTATTCTCTGATGTTTCCCTCCACCTCCAGGTGCCCAGATGACTATTATGAGCCAAGCTTGTGCAGAAAGGTGTAACATAATGAGGCTGGTGGACCGTCGGTGGGCAGGGATCGCCAAAGGAGTGGGCACCCAGAAGATTATTGGAAGGGTACATCTAGGTGAGCAAAGGCACTGCGGGAGTCTTTTCAGAGTAGCAGATTCTTAAAAATTTATTCTACATAAGTATATCTGCTCTGGCAAGCCTAATCCCCAGAAATGTTAAATCCTCTGTTCTATTACACATGTACATGTTCTAGCTGGTTATAAGAAGATCAGTCACTGTGTACTTCCGTGTTCCTGCTCCTTAGAATCCCTTTCAACTATTATAGCTCATTTCTTTTGGTGCCTGCCTCCATATTTCAAAATAACGTGTGTGTTGTGCTGTTACTGATATGTAAATACTGTAGAGAGCTGAGCCATCTAATTGAAAGTGGTTGTTTTTCCGTTTGTGTCTAGTATTGTGTTTCTTGTAATAATTCTTTTGTTTCAGTCATTTGGAATTTGGTCATTTGGGATTCTATGTGTTACTCAATCCCCAAACACTTACCTAGTTGTGTAAATCTTCCTTATGCATTTCGTCCTGTTGACCGTTCTTCTGGAGACTGGACGGGTGTCCAGAGCTGTGCCACAGCTGCTGTCACAGAAGCTCCCTTCCTGGGTCTCCAAGGCCGCTTTCCCCTTGCTGTTAGATCGGATCACGCACATCCCTTCTCTCACTCTTTGTACTCTTGCTCCTAAGTCTGTTAGAGTACAGCTTCCAGTAGCTTCCCAAGAGAAAGTAAGGGAGGAAACTGAGTCCTTAAATATCAGAGCTTGTCTTTTTTTCCTTGTATTCTACCAGTCTGGCTAAGTTGGAAATCATCTTTGTTTTCCACAGTTTTTGTCAGTGTTGCTGTAGAGAAGCTGGCTGCTGTCCCAATTCTTAATCCTTTATGTGAAAGATTTCTTTTCCATTTCTGAAGCTTGCAGACTCTTCTCTGACCTCGGTGTTCTGAAATTTCGCGGGGTTGTACTCAGGTGTAGATCTGTCTTCCGCTGTGCTGCGTCCTTTTCACTCCTTGCACCCTCCCACCTCCCGGATGTCTGTTGTTTGGGTGGAATAACCCATCTATCCTGGGCTTGTCTTCTCGTTTTCTTCTTTTCCTCTTTCTTCATGTGTCCTGGGTGTGTTAATTGTTTGCCAGATTTCCTCAACCTTGCCTTCCAACCTTTCTATTACATTTTGCATTTATTTGACTTCTGTGTTAGATGCTTTTCTCAAACGTCTGGTGATCCTTGGCATCTGCTCGTAGTGAAGACTGGGACACCAGAAGGCTATTTGGAAGATGACTTGGGTGGGCAGTCATGGTGGTTGGTGGGGGATCTGGAAGTTGAAAGGGAGAAGAGGGCTAGAAGCTCAGTAAACTTACACTTCATCCCCCTGGGTTTCAGTTACCTGCTTGCTGTATCTCTGTCTCCCTCCGTGCCCACCTCTGTATTGCCCTCTTGAGAAAATAAACCCCTGGTCTGCTGTGGGTGAAGGGAGGAAGTCACCTGACTGAGCAGAGAGAACCCCAAGATCTAACTGTGCCTCCCATAGAGACTTTGACCAGTCTTCCTGCTCTGGACCCACCTCTACCCCTGTTTGCACAGGTCCTTATTCATCACCTCTGGGGAGTTCTGAGATACGAACTGGCTTGCTTCCCTGTTTTCCTTACTGTCCTCTGCTTTCTGTTCCAAAATTATGTTTCAGTTGTTGTGTCCATGCTTTTTGTCCTTAGTGATCTGTACCTTAAAAAAACAATTTTATTGTAAATTTTTAAGGAGTAAATGGAGGTAAATACATGTGTTCAGTCCTTCATCTCTAACCAAAATTGTTTTTTTTTTTCTTAATAATTTAAATCCTTTTGAGTGAGACTCAATCACTAGGTACCATTTGGACTTAATCTCCTTCTGGCCTATTTTCCATGCATTTTGTTCTTGCAAAAAAAAGTGGTCATATATGGGGCACCTGGGTTAAAGCCTCTGCCTTCACCTCGGGTCATGATATCAGGGTCCTGGGATCCAGCCCCGCATCAGGCTCTCTGCTCAGCGGGGAGCCTGCTTCCCCCTCTCTCTCTCTGCCTGCTGCTTTGCCTACTTGAAACCTCTCTCTCTATGTCCAATAAATAAAAAATCTTAAAAAAAAGAAAAAAGTGGTCGTATAGGGGCACCTGGGTGGCTCAGTGGTTTAAGCCTCTGCTTTTGGCTCATGTCATGATCTCAGGGTCTTGGGATGGAGCCCTGCATCAGGCTCTCTGTTCAACAGGGAGCCTGCTTCTCCCCCCACCCCCCGCCCTCTTCTCTGCCTACTTGTGGTATCTGTCTCTCTGTAAAATGGATAAATAAAAATCTTTAAAAAAAAAAAAAAAAGTTCAGCTTACAGTCACAGTTGTGCTGAGAAAAGAGTTCATTAAAAAAAAAAAGTGGTCATATAACATAGAAACTTACACCATTTTATGAAAAAATAACATTTTCTCACTATTACTGTGTATTTCATAAGCATCATTCAGATGCATAGCATTCTCTTGTATGGGTTTAATGGTCAACTTTTAGGATAAAATTATCCCCCAATATTTTATTATTGTAATATGGCATTGGATTTTTGTGTAGTTTTATGCACATTTTAATTTTTTCTTAGTCAAGATTCCCGTAAGTGAAGCTACTGAATCAAAGGTTATGAATCCTTAAAGGCCCTTGATGTATTTCTAACCCATACCAGAGTGGCTCTCCCGGTGCTGAATCAGTGTTCATCTTGAGGTCCTTATACAATCAAGGATTCGTAGTTTTTACTCCCTTACTGTACAGATTAAAAAAGGCTGGTTTTTTTTTTTTTTTCATTGTAAGTTTCTTTTCTTTTATTGCAAGTGGTAGTTTCTGCCCATTTCTCTCTTTCTTTTGTAATATATTTGTCTATTAGAGTTTCTGGGTTTTCTTTTGTTGATTTGTATAGACTAAGAATAGTTTAAAGACACCTTCCTTGCATATACGCCCCTACACACGGTAGACCTGTACTGTCACACAGTGGTTGCTTCCGAGTCTGAATTCTCAGAATTTCCGTGGTTTTTAAGTAGGAAGGTGATAGGACGAAGTAAAGTAAGTACCAGTCCCTCGTGTCCTCCTTCCTTGTGGATGGGCAAGCTGTGGCGTTTTTAGCTGTGGCTATGATAGGAAGAAAACCTACAATTATAAAGGAAATCTAAGTAAAGGGGAGCTATGTCACAGATAAGAGGACTCAGGATGTCAAAAGTGGTAATTCTCCCACATTTGTCAAGAGCAGAGTCATTGTAATACCCTTAAGATCTCAGCAGGTTTTTTGTTTTTTGTTTTTTTGTGAGACATGATGTGCTAACTTAAAATTTTATATGGACTGTTTATTATAGGAATAGGCAAGATACTCTGGAGTAATTTCCCCTTCTAGATGTCAAGACCAAAGTACTAGAACAGAAACAGACCCACGTTTACATGAACCTTGATAAATGAGAGAGGCAATCTTACACAGCAGAGGGAAGTTTTCAGGAAAGGTGCTGGGTATCATACAGCTGGGTATCCATGTGGAAAAAATGAATCGGAACTTGGACCTTGTCTCTCACACACACAAATAAATGTCAGTTCAGGGTTGATGAAAGACCTTGATGTGAAAGGCAAAGTCAGAGCTTTTAGAAAAAATATAAGAGAATATCTTGCTTGGGGAAGGGGTTCCTTAAAGGTTAAGAAGGAAATTACTTGACAGATTTGGCCATATTAAGATTAAGAACTTTTATCAAAAGGCATAAAGGAAGTGAACAAACATAAAGTAGGAAAGAATTTTTATAGCACATAGGACTAATAAAGGATTTAGATTCAGAATATGTACATTCTGTGTGAGTTTTCTGTCCTCCATCTCAGTGAAAAAGACAGTATAGGGGTGCCTGGGTGGCTCAGTTAAGTGTCCACCTCTTGATCTCAACTCAGGTCTTATCTCAGGGTCGTGAGTTCAAGCCCTGCTTTGGGCTTCGCACTAGGCATGGAGCCCGCTTAAAAAAAAAAGAAAAAACAACTTTATAAAAAAATTACAGAAAGGACTGAACAGGCACTACTTTTTTTTTTTTTTTTCCTAATTAGAAAGTGAACAGGAGCAGAGGGGAGGGGCAGAGGGAGAAGCAGACTCTGCTCCAAGCCGGAGCCTGATGCAAGGACCCTGGGATCATGACCTGAGCCAAAGTCAGATGCTTAACCGACTGAGCCACCCAGATGCCCCAGGTGCTATTGAACAGGAAACCCAAATGGTTAAATATATGAAAATTTGTTCATTATTAGTCAGGGAAATAGAAAATTACTTGCCAGATTAGCAAGATTTTAAATCTGATAATACCAAATGTTGATGAGAATGTGGGGCAGTGGAAGTTTTATACACTGCTAAAAACATTGTAGAAAATAATTCAGCGTCACCCAGCAAAGTTGAGCCTAATGTCCCCTAGAATTCTCTGATTCCATTTTCTTTGATATGTATATGTACTGTCAGAGAAACTGAATACACACCAGGAGACAAGTACCAGAATATTCAGGGGACATTGCTTATGACAGCATGAACCTGAAAGCAATCCAGAAAGTCCCGGAGCAATAGAATCAATAAATCAGTTGTGGTCTCTTAGACATTAGAGTACTCTAAAGGGTGATTTGTAGAGAAAGAAACAGAGTCATATGTACAGGGATAGATCTCAAAATACTTTCTGAGTAAAGAAGCAAGTAGTAGTTCAAAAACACAAAGTTAAATAGTAATGCTTAGAAATCATACAGAACTGGTAAGGATTATTTATCATTTAATTTTTTAATTTTTTATTAACTTTTAATGTATTAGTAGTAGTATTAGGGTACAGGTCTGTGAATCATCAGGCTTACACACTTCACAGCACTCACCATAGCACAGACCCTCCCCAATGTCCATAACCCAGCCACCCTCTCCCTACCCGCCACCCATCAACCCCCAGTTTGTTTTGTGAGATTAAGCGTCTCTTATGGTTTGTCTCCCTCCCGATCCCATCTTGTTTCATTTTTTCCTTCCCTACCCCTCCAAACCCCCTACGTTGCCTCTCAGATTCCTCATATCAGGGAGATCAGATGATAATTGTCTTTCTCTGATTGACTTATTTCGCTCAGCATAACACCCTCTAGTTCCATCCATGTCATCGCAGATGGCAAGATTTCATTTCTATTGATGGCTGCATAGTATTCCATTGTATAGATACACCACATCTTCTTTATCCATTCATCTGCTGATGGACATCTAGGTTCTTTCCATAGTTTGGCTATTGTGGACCTTGCTGCTATAAACATTCAGGTGCACGTGCCCCTTCGGATCACTGCATTTGTATCTTTAGGGTAAATGCCCAGTAGTGCGATTGCTGGGTCATAGGGTAGCTATTTTCAGCTTTTTGAGGAACCTCCATGCTGTTTTCCAGAGAGGCTGCACCAGCTTGCATTCCCACCAACAGTGTAGGAGGGTTCCCCTTTCTCCACATCCTTGCCAGCATCTGTCATTTCCTGATGTGTTAATTTTAGCCATTCTGACTGGTGTGAGGTGGTATCTCATTGTGGTTTGATTTGTATTTCCCTGATGCCGAGTGATGTGGAGCACTTTTTCATGTGTCTGTTGGCCATCTGGATGTCTTCTTTGCAGAAATGTCTGTTCATGGTCTCTGCCCATTTCTTGATTGGGTTATTTGTTCTTTGGGTGTTGAGTTTGCTAAGTTCTTCACAAATTTTGGATACTAGCCCTTTATCTGATATGTCGTTTGCAAATATCTTCTTGGTAAGGATTATTTAAAAAGCTGGGAATGAGGAAAACAAAAACCAGGATAGTAGTGAAGGTTGGAGAAGTCACTTAGTTGTGATCAGTGGAAGATATAGGGGACTTCTGTTCTTTGTGTTTCCTAACCTGGGAAATAAATGCATCGATCTTTGTTCTATTATGCTCTATACTGTACACATTTCATATACTCTTCTGTTTGTAAGATACACGTAAGAACAAGGGCACATGGGTGGCTCAGTCGGTTGAGAGCTTGCCTTTGGCTCAGGTTGTGATCCCAGGGTGCTAGGTTCGAGTCCCAAGTTGGCTCCCTGCTCAGCGGGGTGCCTGCTTCTCCCTTTGTCCCTCCCCCAGCATGTGTACTGGCACGCTCTCTCTCAAAAAATAAATAGACCTTTTTAAAAAAGATATACTTAATAACAAAGTAATTATATGTGTGTGTGTGTGTGTATTTGTATATAAAGTAAGAGAACTAATAAAGAGGCAAAAGCAAGAGACTCCAGGCAAAGACAGGCATTGGTTTGTCTCAACTTTTGCAAATACAGACTTGATTATAACAGGCAGTAATAAACATTTTGCTTTTTGGAGGTTAACTTGTGTACAGATTTTATTTCCCTTTTAATTCTTTTTTTTTTTTTTAATTTATTTATTTGACAGAGATCACAAGTAGGCAGAGCGGCAGGCAGAGAGAGGGAGGGGGAAGCAGACTCCCCACTGAGCAGGGATTCCCAACTCGGGGCTCGATCTCAGAACCCTGAGATCATGACCTGAGCTGAAGGCAGAGGCTTAACCCACTGAGCCACCCACTTATTTCCCTTTTAGAAAGCCTTTTGTAAGTGTGTAGGAAGCAGGCAGTTAATATTGGAGGAACTGATTCCCGTCGCCATCCTTAGTGCCAGCTGTCCTTACCAGCCGACCATGTGTCCTGATGGTATCCTGCATCAAGCCGGATATTCTCGGTGGTTCTACTCTATCCACTTTACAAGCTGGTGCCTTCACTGGCTTTCAAACTGATGGTTGCACTTACTGGATTTTCATACTTAACTCACCTGTTTCGTGCTTTGCCGTGGCTGTGACTGATTACAGGACGCAAGACCCAGAATGGTAGATACATTTCCAAAAGCTTGTGTGAGGCTTTTGAGGCAAAAATCAGTGACAGTAAATAAGTGAGTAAGTCAGATTAAAATAGAAATCCATAATCTCTTTTCTTAATGTGCTTTAGCTCAGGTTCAGATTGAAGGTGATTTCCTGGCGTGTTCGTTCTCTATACTTGAGGAGCAGCCCATGGACATGCTTCTGGGACTGGACATGCTAAAGCGGCATCAGGTAATCAGGGCTTTGCTTCCATCTCGGGGTCGGCATTTCGTGTGTTACACGGTTATCAGCGCGTTGTCTCCCTCGGTTGTGTATCCTGGAAAACTGAAAAGCCGTGGCTTCTCCAGTCTGAAAAGGACCTGAGTGGAGGATGTCATCATGCATGGTTTGAAATTATGTATCAGTGGAAACAGAATATCTTCTTGTGAAATCTCTCTGAATCTTTTTTATTTTTTCCCCTCTGAATCTTTTTAATCTTGCCGTCTGTTTGAGATTATTTGGACAACTTTATTCTCGTGTGTTATTTTTAGTTTCTGATAGGAACTCAGGTAATTTTTGTTGGGTTCGTAGGGATCTGGACAACACATGATGGTAATTTTTTTTGAGAGGTGGGGGAGGGGCCAAAGGACAAGAGGAGAGACTCTTAAGCTGACCCGACGCCCAGCACAGAGCCTGATGTAGGGCTTGATCTCACATCCCTGAGATCATGACCTGAGACACTTAACTCACTGAGCCACAAAGGCTGCCACGATGGTAATGTTTCTGCTGCAAGTATACATTTAGTCCCTACTCGCTAGGCAGAAGAGCTGTGGGATTGAGGAAGGTGTACGTGAGATGTTCGGAATGGAAAAGCTTCTTTAGTACAGAGAGAATGATTTGTAAATACATTGGCTTGCAGTGATATTTGTATTTCCACTCTGAACCCTAACAATTTGTATAAAGATAACCTCTTCTGATTAAAGATGCAATTAGTGTCCACTGGGTAGTAAGATTTTTCACAGCAAGATTTCACATCTAGTCAATATTTTTATGTCACTAGTACTCTTTAAAAAGATTTTTATTACTAAATTTCTATAAAACATTGCATGAATAGTCTAATTAAGGTGCAGAATTTTAAGTGGAAGGGATGAGTGAATGCATGTGTTAATAAAACCCAGTTTTTTAACTCGTCACTGTTTTTCTCTGCTTGTTAGTCATGGTGTAGACGAGTATTCTCCAACTTGATTGATATGAAACATGTATGTGTGTACTGTGCTATGTCAAATACACAGATATACAGACCAAAAAAAAGGGTAGCATAAGTATGAAATAAAGAACAGTTGGGGCACCTGGGTGGTCATGGTGGTCATCTCTCTCTGCCTGTCTCTCTGCCTACTTGTGACCTCTGTCTGTCAAATAAATAAATAAATAATCTTAAAAAAGAAAAAGAATACTTTTGTAGAGATGGCTTTGCCCATATACCACTTTTGAGACCATTGGTATAGAGTTTAAATATAAGTTGTACTTTATGCAATAAGCAAAATGTAAATTGTAAATGTGAATGTACAAATAGTATGTCTCAGTTTTATAAAAAAATCACTTACATGTTTCTTTTCTTTCTTTCTTTCTTTTTTTTTTTAAGATTTTATTTATTTATTTGACAGAAATCACAAGTAGCCAGAGAGAGTGGAGGAAGCAGGCTCCCCGCTAAGCAGAGAGCCAGATGCGGGGCTCGATCCCAGGACCCTGGGATCATGACCTGAGCCGAAGGCAGAGGCTTTAACCCACTGAGCCACCCAGGCACCCCTCACTTACATGTTTCTAAAACTTGGGGCCACTGATTATGCCTGGCATGTTTCCAAATTTTTACAATGAACATGTATTACATTTAAGTTCAGAAATGAATAGAGCTTGGGTTAGATGAATAAGTAAACTGTGTCCTATGAAGATGATTCTGCTATGAACTTTTTAAATGCTTAAAATATTTCAAGATAAAATAAAACTTAAATATTTAAATTCATGATAATTTTTTTGCATGGCGTTTTATCCACTGTCCTCAGTCTTTGGTTTCTTCCTTCTAAGTGTTCCATTGACCTCAAGAAAAATGTGCTCGTGATCGGCACCACCGGCTCTCAGACCACCTTCCTCCCCGAGGGAGAGTTACCGGAGTGTGCCCGGTTGGCATACGGGGCTGGGCGAGAGGACGTGCGGCCGGAGGACATTGCGGACCAGGAACTAGCAGAAGCTCTTCAAAAGTCCGTAGAGGACGCAGGTATCTTCAGCGGCCAAGCTCTCGAATGACTTTTCTTGTTACTGGTCTGTGGGCAGGGGAGGGTGGAGCTTCAGAGGGATGGGGGCCTTTTCCGTTTCTAATCCATGTCATCGTCCTGTCATGGATGTGTTCCTTGTCCTCTCACCACCTCCTCCTATCTCTGAATCCAGTAAAGGAAACCTCGGTGTTTAGACAGACCCATTGCTGTGTCACTAGGTAGGTGCATCAGGGAGTTACTTGCTTAGGCACATTTTGGTAGGCTTCCTAAAAAATCTTGTTTCTTTTTTTTTTTTTTTTTTAAGATTTTATTTATTTATGTGATAGAGACATAGCAAAAGAGGAAACACAATCGGGGGAGTGGGAGAGGGAGAAGCAGGTTTCCCGCTGAGCAGGGAGCCCGATGTGGGGCTCGATCTCAGGACCCTGGGATCATGCCCTGAGCTGAAGGCAGACGCTTAATGACTGAGCCACCCAGGCGCCCCTTGTTTGTTTATTCCTGACAAAAATTACTACAGGAGCACCTGGCTGGCTCAGTCGGTCGAAGGTCCAACTCTTTTTTTTTTTTTTTTTTTTTTTTAAAGATTTTTATTTATTTATTTGAGAGAGAGACAGTGAGAGAGAGCATGAGCGAGGAGAAGGTTAGAGGGAGAAGCAGACTCCCTATGGAGCTGGGATCCCGATGTGGGACTCGATCCCGGAACTCCGGGATCATGACCTGAGCCGAAGGCAGTCGTCCAACCAACTGAGCCACCCAGGCGTCCCGCGAAGGTCCAACTCTTGATCTCAGTGCAGGTCTTGATCTCAGGGTTGTGAGTTAAGCCCCACATTGGTCTTCATGCTGGGTATGGAGTCTACTTTAAAAAAGAAAAAAAAAATACAGTAAGCAGACCCATTTCCTTTTGAGTTTTACAGTTTCCCTGAAAATTATTTTTCCTTTTCTTGGGCCCACTTCCTTTGACGTGTAGCATTGTCCTGGTGACTGAGCAGTCCTGGCCTCTTTAATACCTACTGAAAGTGCTGCCACCATAGAGGAACCGACGACAAAGACGCATAATTGAGCACTAATCAAACTAGAGTGTTTATGCTATTAATGAGATTGCATAGTGCATTCTTGGGCCAAATTAGAACAGTGGGTCAGCCGTTGACATGGGGATACCTAATCACGTTTTCATAAGTCTCAATTGTCGTGGCTTGTTTAAATCTAAAGACCAAGCCAAGTTTTCTGGTCTAAATGGAAGAACACATTTTTGCTGAAATCTACCTCCATGGCATAATTCTTCCCCATCTGTTATAAAACAGTGACTCTGGGATACATTTTCTAGAAGCTGAAGAGAACTAACTATCAAGGTGGGGTTATTTTAAAGTCTTGAGCTGTAATCATTCATCAGTGACTAATACCATGTGCTGTGTTTTCTGGTATAGTAAAATGTATTAGAGCTACAAGTCGGGGAAATAGCTGTCCTCTAACGACAAAAAAAGATAGGATCTTTACAAAATAAACAACCAGATTTTGCCAGTGTTTTCACTTAGAGAACACCCAGAGGTCTAGACCTGAGCCTCTTCAAAATGGGTGTGGATTGCAGACAGTTTTCCAAGCCGGCCTTGTTCTGAACACACTCCACTAAACCGGGCGCCTGGGTGGCTCAGTGGGTTAAGCCGCTGCCTTCGGCTCAGGTCATGATCTCGGGGTCCTGGGATCGAGTCCCGCATCGGGCTCTCTGCTCGGCAGGGAGCCTGCTTCTCTCTCTCTCTCTCTCTCTCTCTCTCTCTCTCTGCCTGCCTCTCTGTCTACTTGTGATCTCTCTCTGTCAAATAAATAAATAAAATCTTTAAAAAAAAAAATACACTCCACTAAACCTTTTGGCACCTTTGAGTCTTATATGTAAAGTACAGCTTTGGTTGTGACTTGACTTTTGCAGGAAGGGGAGAATTCTGAACGAGACAGAGACTAAATTAATAGTTTTAGTCTTCCCTGCAAGGCAAGCTTGACTGAGTTTGACATACCCACTTAGAAGGTTTTACCTGTTTTAGTAACTTTGTCAGCTTAGTCATAATACTGGGTATTCATAAAATGAAGGTGTATTACCATCTTGTGAAATCTCTGTTTCCCCCCCCCAGTTTGGTGTTTTTATTTGAGAAGCACTAGCTGATGATAGCAATGCTTTCTAACCTACTAACAGTTACCCTCTTTGGGTAATTACCTTCTTAAAATAAAAAGTTTAGGAAATTAAAATAGAAACCACGGGTATTTTCAGGCATAGTGAAGGGAATGTACCAATTGAAAAGACTAAAAGGAGGAGTGCCTGGCTGGCTCAGTCAGTAGACTGTGAGACTCCTGATCTCGGGGTCATGAGTTTGAGACCCATGTTGGGCTTAGAGATTACTTTAAGGATATTAAAAGCAAAATAAAAAAATAAAAACATTTTTAAAAAGGATTTAAAAAATGGGTTTTGTTCCCATGTACTGTTTTTGTTACTGACGATATGTGGCTCGTGCTAATTTTTGTAATGTTTAAATAGTGAAATAATTCTACATCAGGTCCTGTTTGTTTGGAACACCGACTTCCCGGTATCCTCAAAATCAAAACTCTGGACATAGTAGGTGAAAGTATTTTTGTTAAAAACTGTTTCTTTCGTGGGTACTTAGACCAGAGTGTCTTTATCTTTTCCATCAATGGGACAGTAGACCCGGATAGGAGCTATATCTAATACATCTCCTAAAAACTGGCTGCAAGATAGCCCAGGATAATCCATTTTGAGTTGTTTTTCTTCTAAAAATAAATCTCATCTGAGAAGGAAATTTGGGAAGTGACAGTTACAAATGTTCGCTCACCTTTTAAGATTTCCACGCCATGTGATCCCATCTCTGAGTCTGTTCTCCACCCGTCCCACATGTCTGCCCATGAATTCCATGTGTGTGGGTGTGTGAAGTTCATTTCTTTCCAAGTCCTATTGAAAAATCTGTTGAAGTTGACACATTGCTTTATGTATTGTGAGAGAATTAAACCAGCCAGACTACGGAAACATTCCCCAAGCTTGACTCTACCAGTTCCTGATTGTAAAGGTGGCAGAGGAATGGAGACAAAACCCTGCATGCTGTGTGGTTTGCATTGTTAACCCAAGTTTGCTTGTCTGTTTCCTAATTCAAACAGAGCGTCAGAAGCCATGATGCATGTAGTGTGTGTGTACTGCAGCTGGAGTGGGCCCCAGACCAGGTATTTATAGACCCCACGTTAAGCCTTCCATCCAGTTATCGTCTGTGGTCTGAAAGTCTCTGTATCTGCAGCAGTTTTGGAATTTAGCTTCTGCCATCCATTTCACCTTGTTTAATCTGGTTACAACTAGCCTGTATATGCATCTGTGTGTTGGTACACGTACATATCCGAGCACAATTTCCTATGCAAAGTCTTCTCAGCCATTGGAACAGCCCAGGGAGGGGAGGGAGATCCCAGGAAAAACAGGGCCCATCTGGCCGTGGTGAATATATCAGATCAAGAATGTCAGCACCACAGCTCATTGTCGTTGGGGATGACTACACCATCGGGTTTCGTGAGTCTGTTTCTTCGGAAAACCTGAAAAGTTCCTTTTTTTTTCCCCTAGCACTGCACACGGCCACCTAGAGGTAGAGACAGGTAGAAATTGCCAGTCCACTGTGGAAGAAATGGAAGCCTAAACCAGCTGACTTGTCTAGCGACACAGGCTCACTGATGCGGGCAGGATTGAGGTTTTATTCTCCCAGAAAGAAGAGCTGACATTTGGCTCTTCTCTCTCTCCCTAGCCTGACAGATTCTCTCCCGGAGGCGCTGTGCTCCCTGTTTCCCTGGAGAGTAAATCTGGGAGACAGCAGCCTGGGCATCCCGGGTGATTTCTCAAGAGGAAGAAAGACAGTCTTTCTTTAAACTCCCAACCTGGGACTTCATAGGGGTTTGCAGGCTGGTTGTAATTAGATACCTAGCACTCAATTTCTTCTTTTTTTTCCTTTTTCCTTACAAAGGTGGGGTAAAGTAGGCATGGTTTAATTCGTCTTAATATCCATTGTCCTCATCCCCTTCTACCCTGTAGTACTGACCCAGTGCTCCCCTACAGTTAGGACTTAGGCCAGTGAGACCGACCATCTCGGCTACAGGAGGACTGTGTGCTGCTTTCCTAGTGAGTACCAGACACCTGGAGGCCATGTTCTCCTGACCTCACGCAGTTGTCCTCGCTGGCATGCCAGTGCCGAGAGGCCGGTATCATATCCCCCATGCCACTCACACGGACACTGGGCGGTAACGCATCTTCTCTGTCAGCATTAACTCACAATTGAACCTCCTTCAGTCAGCCTTAGAGATTGAGAAATAAAACTAATCGCCATTTACCTTTAAGCTAGAAGACTGTTTTGCAAGAAGTCAGTAACTTCTGACGTAGCGAGTGCTTTATCTGCTCGTGCTGTGAACCATTGTCATGATTTAGAGCTGTTTGAATCCTAACTGGATTACTTCATGACCTCCGAAGATCAGGCCCCCCATATTGGATGTTAATCAGCATGAAGCATTTGAGTCACATCTGCCCTGATAGATTGTATTGTGGAAGTAATTTTTGTTACCAGCCTTTGACATTGAATTAAAAATCTTAGAGTAATTGCGTGGAGGTGGATGTTTAACTGGATCGGTGGTAAAGGCGGTTAGAGTCCATGATTAATGGTGTCCTGAGGTGGTTGAGCCTGCCTTCCTGGGAGCACTCGGTCCGTTGCAGTCTGTCTAAATTGTCCTTGCCTTGTGAAAATGGTGAAAAACTGTTCCCACCTATCTCCCTCCACTGCCAGGCCCACCCCCTACCGTGCCCTTAAACTACTTAAATGTTCTCATTTAGTTGTACTTTGCTAACCTGATAAAGTAACTGATAATCCTTTCTAAAGTTGCCCTATTTGGTAAGGTGATGATTGGACTTAATATGCTTGACCTTTAGTTTTATTTTTGTTCTTTGCCTCTACACTGACGTAGTTGTATCCTGATTTTCAGGAAGTTTGAATAGAAATGAATTAAATAGAATGTTTCTCTTTCTTTTGGAGAGTCCCAAGCATATTCTCCTTTCTCGTTATAATTCCTGCTCTGTTCCAGATACACCTGGACTAAGACTTGTCATTTAGAACCTTCCTGTTCGCATTGGGAACACCGGAAGTGCATTGACGTGAGAATCGTTCCAGTGTAGAGATCCTCAAAATTTGTAATATGCTTAAGAATCACCTGAGAAGCTTATTGAAAGTGCAGATTCATGAGAATGCAGTAAACCTTGGGTGCCCCAGAATGTGCACGCTTAGCAGACAGCCCAGGTGATTCCAGGGCAAGTGATAGAACACACTTGGAAAAACTCTAGAAGTTCTAGAGTTCTGAACTCTCCGAGAATAAAGACGTATCAATATCCCTCAGTCTTGCACTAACCCAGCTACTATGTGAACGTTTATTAATGGTATTTAAAGAAAAATACTGAATTCAAGTGCACATGTTTTATTAAGAACGTACCTACCTCTTACTCTGATGCTGTGATGTTCAGTTGTCTACCGCAGTGAGAATGGTTTTTGTATAAGTCTGTGAATATAAGGCAGACCCAGCTTTAAGGACCTGATTTTGTTCTGTCCCGTTTAGATTTGTATCATCCGATAATTCAGTGGCCTTTGTAACTGGCTGATTAATCTCCTTTCCTTTTTGTTCCATATAGAGAAAAGCGGTAAAGAAACTACCTCACTGGGAATGTCATCATTACCAACTTCAGATGGATGTAACCATCCAGCCCATCCTTTAGGACAGAGTCCTGAGATTGGTAATCCTATGAGTCTTGCTCACTCTGTCTCTGCTTCAGTCTGCCCTATCAAGCCCAGTGACCCGGACAGCATCGAACCTAAAGCTGTGAAGGCTTTGAAGGATTCCGCTGAATTCCAGATAACCTCTGAAAAGAAAGAACATCTTCCTCTCCAGGATCTTCCTGATCGTGCTTCTTCAGCAGACCACAGTCCAGCCCTGCCTTTGCAGAATTCCTCCGAAGAAGCCATCATTGCTGATAACATGGAGAAATCTGCTGAAAGAAGCACCCAGGGCCCGAGATCTCATCCTCACACAAGACAGCAAGGTAGTGTACCTGTCACAGCCACTAGGGTACAAGAACCACTGGGGCTTCTAGGTGGGAAGGGTCGGCATCCAGAAAGTCAGAACCTGCCTCAGGTGAGTGACCTTCGGTGGCACAAGGAACCAGGGAATGAACAGCATGGGGTTGGACAACAGAATGCTCTAAATGACCAAGAGCATCTCTGTGACACAGAGGACTCTGAGCGGTTTGGAGAAAGGCAACAGAATCAGCAAAGAAGTGTTGATTTGGAAACGGCAGTGAAAGGAGACGGGCTACAACAGAATGTGGACCTTCCGGGTACAGAAGAAAATACTCTACCTTCAGGGTGCTTTGGCTGCTCGAATTCAGAAACACTTATGGAAGTAGATACGGTTGAAGAATCCCTCGTCGCTCTCTGTAATTCCGCACGTGGTCAGCAGGCCAGTGTCAGGGACATCGGGGCATCTGCTCTCAGCTTTGATAATCCCTTGATGGAAGTGGAACCATCAAAATGTAACCCTTCGTCTGAAATTTTGAGTAATTCCATTTGCACTCAGGATTTACAGCTCCCAGACAGTAACATTGAAATGTCTGGAACAGGTAAAGAAGATGGGGATTGCTCCCCCTCTTTAAGTCTTTGTGGCAGTTGTCAGCCCTCTGTGGAGTCAGCGGAGGAATCCTGCTCATCTCTAACAGTAGCCTTGAAGGAACTCCATGAGCTTCTGGTCATTAGTAATAAACCAGCTTCAGAAAATACATCTGGGGAAGTTATCTGTCAGTCTGAAATGGTAACCGAGGGCCAAACAGTTATTAAGGACCTTTCTGAAAGATGGACCCAACGTGAGCATCTTACAGTTACCCAGAATGAAGAGAGTTCACAAGTCACCTTTCATCAGACCATATCTGTATCGGAGAGGGCAGAGAAGTTACCAGATGCTTCAGATGGTGCTGGAGTAGATACAGTCGAAAGTAGTACCGTTGGGGATCCGGGTGATAGCCTAGTAACGGATAAGGAAAGTGACCCCGAGTCTAGGGAATCCAGAAGGGAGAGCAGCTCTGCCACTCTGGCCTCCACTAAAACGTCACATCAGTCACACTGCACCGTAGGTGTGGACATTGCCCCCAAACTCGTAGCAGGCGAGGAGGATGCAGTCAGTCACACTTGCGAGCAAACGAGGTATGAAACCAGTTTCATACTGGCTGAAGATTTGGGTCAGGGCACACAGAAGCCAGTGCCAGACAGGCCAGAGACCAGAGAAGACGTCTGTCCCGAAGCTGCAGAGCCACGTCTTGAATTTGAACCACCTCCCAGCCAGCCATCAGCAAGTCCCTCCATCCTTTCACCATTAATTTTTCCCGCCGCAGACATTGACCGCATTCTCCGCGCCGGCTTCACTTTGCAGGAAGCTCTTGGGGCTTTGCATCGAGTTGGTGGAAATGCAGACCTTGCACTTCTTGTTTTGCTAGCAAAGAACATTGTAGTTCCTACATAACCATGGAGCAGGGGGCTAGATCGTACTCCATTCCCTTCAAAAAAGCTATACACACACGTACACACTCACCACATACACAGTATATGTAGAAACCTGCAAGCAGAATGTTGAGCCAGATTTTTTTTAAAGATTTTTTTCGGCCAAAGTAACTTATCTCTTGTCTGATGAATTTGTCTATTCTCTTTGTTAAAATTTGGGCCTTTTTAAATGTATTGGCAGTATGTGCATACAGAAGCTTTTTATTATCATTAAGATGATGTATTCTGGAATAAAATTGATGGTTTTGTGTATAGCATACCATTTTAGAATGAGAGTGAATGCTTTAAAAAGCAGAAGCCATGAGAAATCCCACCACCCGTGCAGCTAAAAGCAGATCAACTTCCCGTTTTGGCTGTGTCTGTGCTGTAGGCAAGGTATGGCTTGTCTCAGTTGTCCATTTGCAAACTGGATCACTTGGTTTGGTGTTTGGAATTACACTTAGTGCTCTGTGTATTGATGATTCATCAGTTACGACAGGAAATTGAAGGATAATTGAATAGTATTTCCTAGAGTGGTATGTTTTTATTCGTGTGATTAGGATTTGACCTTTTTATGGGAGGGTTTAGAACTTGGGCTGCTTTGTGCATCATAGGCTGCTGCATGGATTGCCAAGTGTTTGGGGTGGGACACTGCGGGGGGTGGGGATGTCCGCATCAGAGTGAAACATGGTGCTACCCAGACAGGAAAGGGACGAGTCTGTAATTCCATTTGCAAATGTCTTGGTGATGCTTCAGGAATCACAAGTGAAAAATGGCCGAGAAACACTGGAATTGACTAGAGAGAGGGTCTGTTAGCATCTTAACTGCTCATCCCTCAACCCTTAGTGATGATGATGAACTTAAAGATCGCTAGTGGGTTGATTGCCAGCAGTTGATTTCCTTTCGAAGCTCATCGACTAGGAACTTCTTCTAAAGCTCAGGTTGAGCTGTGATCTGAGTGGAATATTGCAAAGCGGGATAACCTTGTCACTGGTTCACCTTGGTGCTTGGAATGGTCAGTCTCTGTGTTAATGTCCTTCATGGCACCGGAAATAGTAACTGCAGTTTCTGACTGAAGTGGCCTTGGTAGAGATTTCCATCCCTTTCTTTCCTCAGGAGTTTCTTTTTTAAAGCAAGACGCGTCATATTTGTGTTTACCATGTCAAGGTAGAGTGGGGCATAGTATATAGATGTATTTATTGTGGCCTTTTTTTATATGAGGACTAGCCCTCGGAAACCATTGTCCTGTGGGCCCCACTGTGCAATAATCCTACTGGATAGATTTTAGGTAGTTTTTCCTGGAAAATAAACTCTCTTATGTACCTAGCAGGAATCTGAAATCTTGGTTTTACTGAAAAGAATTTTGAGAACGACTCCCGATTCCAAGTTGTAGTTCGTAATGTGTTCAAAACAGATGTTTTGAAAGGGTGATTCGTGAACTCAGTGTTAAATGATTTTGTCTAAAGTCTTACTCTCTTTGGAAGTTTATTCTTTCCCTCAAAATTCGAGTCATTGAGCACAATCAGAATGGAGGCTCATATCTCAGGAGTTTTTGAAATTTTAATTTGGGGGGGGGCGCTTAGAGACGTTTCTCTTCTACCCTATTCCATCTTCTTTTCCTTTGCTGCGATGTATGTGTGTGTGTGTGTGTGATGAGACTTTAGTGATGTGATGGAAAGTCACAGAGATTCATCATGACCCTCTGAGTTGACATGGTTGACAGAAGGAGTTGTGGTTTTACTGTTTTCCAGAGGGCGCTTAGAACAGGGGGTCAGCCAGGTGGTCTTTGACATTTTCTTTTAGACAATTACATGTTGCAGACCCTTTTGCCTGCCCCACACCAAAGACATAAGATGCACTAGGAAACTGCATATAGGATTTCTGTCAACCGACTCTTAGAGCTGTGATTGTAATTAAGTAGTTGGTGCTATGATTGAAGCAAAATCTAGTAGCAATGCAACAGCCCCTGTATTTGCTTTATGGGTGGTAATTGGGAATTTACTCTAAGCTTATAAATCTTTAAGTGGGATTGGTGAGAGGTAGGGGAAGTTATCGGTGACAACAGACTCCTCCTAAAAGGCCTCTGTGTGAAGCTGGGCCGCCTCGTCTTCTGTCTGGGCAGTGGCGCACTGCTCAGAGGTAAGGCCACTCCGTTTTTACAGTGCAGAGATTTGGGTGGGATATAGAATATCAGCCCAGAAAAGGTTTTATTATAATAGCTTTTTACATATGTATATTTATTTTTAGGAGAAAATTGAATAGGCCTATAGTTGTACACATATTCTTGTTAGGAGTCCTTTGAATGAATGAGCTGAACCCACTTGCCAAATATCCTTGTCCTTTGTCATCATTTATTTTTCAACGTATAATTGCTTTCGATTTTTCAAAACCGTATTTCCTGCTCCATTATTTGTATGAAAGTGAAGTCGTCGACATTGTTAGGATTTTGAATCATTTTTAAATTTTGCAGTTCTTAAAACACAAAGGGAATTAAGGAACATGACACTAGTGAACCTTCATGGTCAGTTTTACTGAAAGTGCAGAAATTCAGGGCACCTGCCTGGCTCAGTCGGAAGAATGTGCAACTCTCGATCTCACGGTCATGAGTTAGAGCCTCACGTTGGGTGTAGAGATGACTTTAAAAAAGTTAGACTTATTTTAAAAAGTGAACAAATTCAAGATTAACTTCTCTTAAAATAAGATAAAATCATCGTGAGCTCCTCTGGTTGCCAACAGAACTGATACTGGTCAGCCCCAGACAGTAATGGGCCACTTTACTGGACAGCTGCTTTGCCACGACCAGTCATGGACGCTTCTGTGGTCAGCACTCACCTTCGACGGTGGTCTCTGTTTATTCACCAAAGAGAGAAGAAGATCGTCCTGTATGACTTTCTGCGGTTTACCCTAAGTCGATTCTGGTGTGTAGTAGTGGGCTTGGTGACCAGACAGCTAATGGCTAGCCTGTAGGTTTTGCCCACTGGAGCTGATAAAAATGATTTCCAAACTTGTACCTGTGTAGGCCTCCTGACATCAGCCAGTTGCCTTCATCCTACGTGTAGGGCCTTAGCCATTAACATATAAAGATAACCAGTTGCTTGGCAAAGAGAACTGGATAGATGGTGGGTGGGTGGGTGGGTGTTAAAAATTGTTTTACATTGGAGCCTCTGAAACCTCCCAGAGCTCCTTGTCTCCATGTGTACTAAAGGAAGACACAGCCCATGTGTTTTTCCCCCCAAAGCATTTCTCCAGCGAGAGAAGGTTGCGTAAAAATGGAAAGATATATGAGACTCTGTGTCACCGATTTTATGATAACTAGTTAAAGTGGAACCTGCCTCTTCTTCCTTAGCACAGCTTTCTATCTCTAGTAAAAGCCATAAAAACTTGGTTGGTTTAACCATCAGCTCATGTGCATATAGACATGTGTGACTGACAAATATTCTACAGTTAATTTTACATAGACAAAAGCAAACAGTTTTTGTATCTACAGATATATTCTCCACTTACGGTGGCTTTTATCCCACCATGTACATAAAAACAACCTTGCAAATACCCGGCCAGGAAAGTTCCAGTGCGTTCTGACTTCCTTCTCCTACCTGTTTGCCCCCTGTAATGAACGCAAGCAGGATAACTGAACTGCAGTGTATTTCAAACTTGTTATCACTGGTGACATATCCTAAGAAAAGCTGATTAGATTATGCATTCTTCCATTCTCTAGCACAAATACCAAAAAGCCAAATTTCTCCTTCGAATTTGGTGACTTAGTATAGTCTGCGGCTGAACTAGAAAGAAACAGGTTATTAGGAGTTTCCCTTCCCAGATGACGGAATGTTAACCTTTTGTGTGAGGCGTTCCATAAAATAAAAATAGCTTTTTTTCCCTAAAGAATTAAAAACTCCAGTTCCTCTGAACAACAAAGTAAATTCGAAGTGTGTCCTTGAGAACTAGAAATGTAAAATCATGGCTTCAGTTCTATACATTAGAGGCCTCTCAGTGTTAGGTGTTCCTAGGAGTTCAGTGAATAAATAATTTAGGGGTAAGCCTTTGATGTACTTGATTTTCTCTTGTGCCTTAGTTTCTCCAAATAGCAGAAGCATCACATTTTGGTGGGAAGTAAAAGTGAAAGTATTGGGGGCAACGTTTGCAAATGGCCTTCCTAGAGGTAGAGGCCATGCATGGAGGGGTCCTAAGATTCACCCTCATTGTTAATTCAGAATTACCCTGCACCAAATCTTTACAGACTTCCCTATATAGAAGAATGATAATAGGGCTTTTTTGCATCGGGAGTACCAAAAAATGGTTTCTAGATGTTTATCATGTTCTTTGTTGCACTGTCTGTATTGGGGTGGTTAAGACAGAGTTCGAGAAAATCTAGCTGGTACTCTTGAAGGCTGTACACTGTCAGTCTTTGAATACGACTTCATTGATTCATGGGGAGCCTGGCTGGCTCATTCGTTAGAACATGCAACTCTTGATCTTGGAATTTTGAGTTTGAGCCCCATGTTGGGGGTAGAGTTAACGTTAAAAAAAAAAAAAAAAAAGTATATTGATTTATTCATCAAACATTAAGTGCCTGTGTGCCCAGTACTGGGGAGCATGGAAATACAGGGGTGACTGAATCAGATTGGAAGCCTGCCCTCGTGAAGTTTTGTGTAGTAAGGAGACATGAAACAAATTTTAGCTCTAAGAGCAAGATTGTTTTTGCCTGTTAGCATGGTTTTATTTTCAAAGTCATATTAGAGTAATTGGGTTCAAAGTCAGAGATTGGGGAAATCGGGCTCAAAATGGAATTAGATGCTGTGATCCTAAAACTGCTTTAAAAATTTTTTATTATTATTTTTAATAATATCAGAAACCAACAACAAATGTTCTAACGTTTGATAGAAATATTTGAAGAGATGAGCATAAATGCTGCTCAGGGTTAGGATAGATGTGCAAGTAAACGCGAGATGATCCCCAAATACGCACCAGGGACAGTCCTCTTTTCCTCCGTCGGGACATCCTTCCACACAGGGTAGAAATGCAGAATCCCCACTCCCCCTTGGAGCACGGCTGCCCTGGGATGCTGACCATCTGGGCCAACAGGACTTAGCAGAGGATCCTGGAGGATTTGCTGTTTTAAAGCAGCTGAGTGCAAGGTGTGGCAGTAGGAGTCCAGAGCGGAAGATGTAGTTAGCGGTGGGACCCAATGGTGGGCAGGATTGTTGACAAGGGGATTCCAGGCTCTACCGAATCTTTGACAGGCTAGCTCCATTAAAAGGACGTTCTTCAACCCATTATTTAAAATGTCACCACATGTGTTGTCATCCTGAGGCATACAAGTAGAAGTTCTGGGCCTGCCTACTAGTGACTTCTGAGGCTTACAATTAGAGAACTCACAAGTTTATCAGCTCCATATTGGTGATTGGTAATCGAGACCCCGGGGGGCTGTAAAAGGCGAGAGGGATCTAGCTGGTAAGCTTCAGGGCACAATCTTAAGGAATGAAATCTACGGAGAAAATGGTTCAAGGGTGTAAGAGTTAGACAATGTTTCTTTTTTTTTTTTTAATTTATTTAGACAATGTTTCTTTTACCGAAAAAAGGCAGATGACAGAAGACCTAGGGTGGGGGGACGTAGAACACAAAATTAGAACTTCTGCAGAACGTATTTCTTTAAATGTGTGCCGTACGAAGGTTTTCATTAGTCGACTCGGGGAAGGGGTGTGCTGGATGTTTTTTCCCCTGGGAAAATCGGTGTCCGTTGGGAAAAGATCGTATTTACCAGGGGCTTGCTTTACACACAACCTCGAATGAATGCGTCTGTGGCTTAAAGGAGGAGACCTCTCTCACTCTCCTGCCCCAGGTAGTCAGATCAGCCTGTCGGTTTCCAGATTCCTTCAGCCTGAGATGATCTGACGCTGTCCGGAATTCTTTTCTTTTCCCCAAAGGCCCCGCAGCTTTCTGAGTTTCTGCCTCCTGTCTGAGATCTCTGTCTCTCTGAACGACTGTCTTCCGTTCTCTGTTCTCTCCATCATCCTTTTGAAATAGTGATGCACTCAGAGCAGTTCAACATACTGATCATAATGCTTTCTTCACTGTGTACCTGCAGTGAACATTCATTTGCTCATTTTTATTCAAAATCTCGTCGTCCTGGCAAGTTGGGCTAATGACCTTCGCTCTCGAGTAAGGTTTGTTAACCAGTTTTGTAGCCATATTTGGCAAATCTTAGCAAATAGAAACCCTTCTTTTCCCTCCTTCTTGGAATTGCTCATGTATGGCTTTTCTGACTTTTCTTTAAGCTTTGAGACTACTGCATCTTTAAGAAACTAGGCAGGTCGGCAAAATAGGCTTGCCAGTAGCTTAGTCACTCCCATAGTGCTTTGGTTTTGAGAGTTGGGAAAACTCTGAGAACTTAAGAGAACCAAACTCAGGAATCCCACTGTTGGCTGCACTGTGCCCTTGGTTTAGGCGCTGGACATACATAGGACCTGCCTGCAGCTGAGTGAGCTAGATGCATTTGGGTTTGAGTTTTTGTCACATACTGAAATGTTAAGTCAGCCCTAAATAATCGAAACACTTTATTTTTCTTTTTTTAATAGGAACTTTCTGAAGAAAAAAGTGATGTGTAAAACATTTGATATTTAAGACAATAAAGTTTTTATCATAAGACTCTCGTTTGATCAGTTTCTTTTGAGATGGTTACTTTAGTCCTTGGCTGTCTCCCTGCCCCTTTATGTCACCTGTACCCAGGCACCGTGATCTGTCGTCATCTGCCTGCACCTCATGAGAAATGGGTATCTCTAAGCCATGAAAGTTGACATCCAGACGACCGATGCAGGGGCATGGCCACCTGCTCCTGTCAGAGATGCGCGTCCGTGACTGTGTGGGCAGCCGGTGCCCAGTGACAGACGTGGTTGGGTGTTGTGGTTAGACCAGCGTCTGGAGCCGGGCCGCTTTGCCACTTGCTGGCTATGTGACTGGGTAAGTTTCCTAACCTTTCTGGGCCTCCGTCTCCTCTACAAAGTGGGGACCGTCTGGCCGGTTGTAGGGATGACAGTTAACTAATACATGGAAAGTGCTTAGTACGGTACCTGGCGCCACGCTAAGTGCTCATTAGACTTTAGTATCGTGTCACGCAAAGGATTTGAGAATGCTGAATGCGGTTGTTCTGGAAGTTAGGCAATCCCAGCCGTGAGATGTGACCCTGCCCCGTGCATTCATCCGGGGTCCTAGGCTGCCAGGGCTCTGCTTGCTTCCACACAGGGTTTCCAAGATGACCCTGGACACCAGCATCCCATGGACATACCAGAAGAGAATGAGGGCTGTTCCTGGAAGTTTCTCTACCAGGCCTGGAAGTGGTGTATGTCGCTTTCCTACCCACGTTCCCCTCGCTGCCCTCAGCCGCACGGCCAGACTGAAGTGCGAGGGAGGCTGGGAAACCTCATCTCGCCGTGTGCTCCGGGTGAGTGGGGCAGTGGCGTGTCGCCTAGCAGTGCTTCAGCCGCCCCGCCCAAGGACGTGGCCCCATAGCCCATCCCGGCACTCAGCCGACCAGTCCAGAAGCTCCTGGGATGCCCTGTCCTTCAGGTCTTGGTTGTGGCTCTTGACAGAGATCAGTTC